TTGACATCTTCTGAGGTAAAAAATTTGGACCTAGCCCCATTGATGACGTCACAAGGTCCATTTTTCTAGACCCCTGCACGGCAAATTTCGGCGTCACAGACGCAAACTTCAAATAGCTGCTAAAAAAAGAGTTTTAGAGATAAAGACAAATTACGAGCACGGTTGTGTAGCGTTTGACCTAGAAAAAAATAGAAAAATAGTTTTGGTGACCTGAGGTCAGAGGTCAGGTCAACGACCCCGAAATGTGGTTTTAGTTTTTCGCAAATAACTTCGACAAAAACGGTCCTAGAGCTACGGCAATGGTACCATCGCATTCGCCTTGTCAAGCCGCGTCGAATGATGTATATTTTGTTCGGAAAAGGTCAAGTTTTATGTTGACCTCATGTGACCTCGAATGACCTCTGGTTGACCTTGACACATGAGAGGTCATTTATGATGGATGTTTACCCGCTGATCACGAATCTGGCATCTATTTTCCTCTAAGCCTTCATTTAGAGCTTCTGGACGGCAAAATTGTCTTATTTATTATTACTAACTTGAATCAGTGAAATAGCCTCTAGCAGGGATACTCTTCTGTGACCTTGACCTTTGAGCAGCCTTGTATCGTAGGATGAACCACAAATAGGGAACTGATAAGCCTCAAAACATTTCACAACATCTTGGAAGCTAGCACGCAAGATGTGCGAAAAAGTGCCAAGTTTGAGGTCAATTTTTAGCGTGACCTTGACCTTGACCTTTAATTTTAAGCACATTTTCGGAATCCTCAGATTCTCTTCTTTCGTTTGACACCCAATTTTGCCGGTTTGATGCAGCCTGCCGTCCTCTAGAAGGCTTACTTTGAGATCACTACACATGTGCCGGTTTTTGCCTTTGACCTTGACCTCTGACCTTGAAAATTGACCTGAGGTCAAAAATTTTAGGTGCCTTAGAATCGTCTCGTAAGGACCTTTCGTTTGGTATCGCTTTTGTTTCCGTAACTCCCTTATTTACGGAGTTAGACAGGGGGGGCGAAAAACGCCCCCCCCCCGGGCTGCGGTGGTTGGGATTACCCCCCGGGCCCGGCCGGGTTAATGAGAAGAGAAACGTTTGGGAGCGCTTCATGCAGTAGCGGGGCCAACGACACCGACGCCAGGTTCATTCAGCTTATCCACCATGCATTGTGGACAAACTGAATGATCCTGGCCGACACTGTGGACAAACTGAATGATCCTGGCGTCGGTGTCGGTGGGCCACATGCCTCCGGCGATCAAATCCGTCGTTGGATATCGCTGGATGGACTACCATGGATAGGTTCGTCAATGCGTCTTCGCACTTCTTCGAAATACTCCATTTTCCTTGTCATTTTCTCACGGGACTCCTAGGACGAGACCTGGAGTTCTGGGATTAGGAGTGGACCACGACTACCAGGTGGCACGTGACACTGTCTAGGCCCTGAAGATCGTCAATAATACTGCAGAAAGGATACTGGCGCTCGTAATGACCTTCAACCGTAGAATAAAAAGTCAGAGTAGGGAAAACAGAAGCTGCTCCAGACGGTCAAGGAAGACCGGGAAGAGATTGCCGTATGCGAAGTAGATGACCGTCTTGAAGAAGTGAAGGCATCGCATGGGTGAACCAAAAACATGTTTCAAGGATTGTCCTCGCTTTCCCAATTGATGTCCGGAGCCTGTTCAAGAATTATAACATTTCAATATTTTCTGTTCAATTCTCAGAACGCCATAAGTTTTCGATATATCGAACTTTTGGCCAATAAATGCATTGCCATGAGGCAGCACTTCCACTTGCGCGAGGACTGTTATTTTTTGTATGCGGCGTCTACTCAGTAAGTGGAACCGAAAAATGAGCATGCTCAAGATTTATCATCAACTTTTAGTTTCACCATATAATTGGTGACGCACCCTAATATAGGGCCTTGCACTTTATCATCTGGCTTTAAAAAAAAATAATAATAACGTTTCCTGCTGAGTGCAGAAAGGTAGGTAGGTGCATCGCCAGGCTCTATTACCAGGATTGGAGCAGTTATTGCAGTTGAAAGTCAAAGTTGCCTGTTCATGTTTAGGCCCTGTTCTTTATTTGGCCATCTACCCCATATTGCAGTTGTGATGACAAGCTGTTTTCAGTGTAGTTTTGTGATCTTTGATGTCATCAATTGGTGTCATTATTTATCGTCAACTAAAACAATTGAACTTTCCATTCAATCGACTCAATCATACGAGTCACTCTCATTTTCGGGAATCAAATCAGTCAACCAGTCGCTAAAGTCAAACGAGTCAGTCAACCAGTCATCTCGAAAAGTCAATCGACTCAATCCAATCAACTCAAAATACGCGTTGAAACAAATCAATCAATTCAATCGACTTGATTGGTATACAACCCTGCTTACAAGTCTTTTGCACCATCATGTCGTGATTTATTGACAGAAAAACTATTTATGACGTCACATGACCTAAGATGACCTTTTCTGGTGCCCCTGTCAATTAGCGGCAACAGGATCATCACCGATGAGATAATCTTCCATAATACTGAAAGAATTGGGTGGTTTTGACTCGTTTACACGAAGCAGGAGGCGTTTCAATATTTTCCCATAGGCTTGCAATGTAAAGGTCACGAGTCTGGCCTGACCTCAGGTCACAGATATGAAAATTCTGAGATATACAAATTGCACATACTGGTACCCTAACTAAAGCCTGAAGAGAAGAAATTGATCGGTCAAAAACTCTAGTTCTGGCGTGATTGCAAACTTTTCTGAGGTAGGGTCACCAAACCGCCTCTGGTGACCTGACCTGAGGTCAGATCAACTCAAAATTTTCAGAAATGTTGCGTAAAAGCCTTTTAGGACAAGTCAGAAAATTTGAGCTTCCTAGCTCAAAGCGTTTGGGAGAAATAACCCAAAAACCTCAGGGGGGCTCCTGAGGCCCCCCCCCTCCACCAGGAATAGGGTTAAAACCTTTCTGACAAACACTGCAGGCTGGACATGATTGAAAACTTTTTTTAGAACTTGACCTGGTGACCTGACCTGACATCACCTGGGGTCAAAAATTTCACACATTGTTCAAAATTGATGTACTAAAAGCTACCCTAAGCGGCGCGGCGCTAGGCGCCGCGGTTTTTTATTTACACGCAAAAAACGCGACAGGGTGGTAGCATATGCCCCCCCCCCCCACTGGGGCGAAGGCCCTCGCCCCGAATGGACGCAAGAATTGCGCGTGAAACACATATTTTGCTATTTGAGGTCACTGATACCAGGTCAGGTAACAGAGGTCAGGTCACTGAGGACCACAATATGAAAGTGTCGTGAAATCCATGTTTAAAGGACCCGGCGGCCGCTGGGCCTCCGCGCCACCCGCCGGCCGCCTGGGGGGGGGGGGCATATAGTTGCCCCCTTTATTTCTGCGACGATATCATTGCAACGCGACGAGATAGAGAAGCACATATCTTCCTGAATACCTTACCTAGCCGAGGTTGTGTCCAAATTTGGTGTTGATCTCATCTGAAATGACGTCACAGTGACGTCATAAGTAAAATTATAGATTTGCGACTCTCAGTTTCCTCACGATATATCAGAAATATGGGTCCGTATATAAAGGGCCGATTATTGGTCAGGAACTAGATGGAAGTGTATTTAGGTGTTTCAGGATGACAGCAGGTGCTGTCTAGTTCATTTACAGTTGAGTTTCATGCTCAGCGACATCAGAAACGGTCCGTATCGGAAAAAGACAATATCTTATGAGTCACTGTGACGTCTTAGTGCTACAACCACCAGAATTTGCTCAAACATTGCCTAGGTAGTCATTTGAAGCTACGTTGAGTTTCACATTCGTAGCTTATCAGGTTTCGGAAATATTCCGCAAAACGTAAAGGGGGGGGGGGCAACTTTATGCCCCCCCCCCCCTCAGCGCCTCGTGGGTTAAACATGCATAAGAGCTACAGTCTGACCGTCGAGGCCCTCTAGGTGGCCTCTGATGGCCCAACGCCAGCCTCCGAGGGCCCAGCGCCAACCTTAGACTTCAGAGGACAGAGGGCCCCACGTTAACCTAAGAGGGCCTAGTGACCTACATTGTCCTTAGATAGCCCCACGCTGAGCTGTTCCCAGTGGGCCCCAATCTGGCTTAGAAGACCCCACGCCGCTGGTCTTAGAGGAACCCATGCTGCCCTTATATTACCCTACGCTGGTCTAAAAGGGCTACGCACTGGCTTCTTTGGGCCCCACGTCCACATTTGGCTATTTAAGGTCCCAAAGCGGACTCTAAATGACCATGCTAGCCTCCGACGGCTCGACTTCGGCTTCTGAGGGCCCTACGCTGGCCTCCAAACCTTTGGTAGAAGTTTGTTTAGACATGTTTACGTATGCTTAACTGATTAGGCAGAATTTTGGTATACCGTTACCTACGGTATATGGTGTGAATGTTAGGTATGGTGTAAAGGTCCACTTATACGGTGCATATTAGGTGGTATATGACATTCTGATTTCTGGAGTCTGGTTTGCCCCCATCCCCCAGTCGAAATTCCTTAGCCGAGGTCCTGCTGTGTGACTGTGTCAGTCCTGCTGTGTGACTGGCTGTATCCTATACATCCGATCCATCCTATAAGTATACATCTGGTGTTTCTAAGTGCATCAGGAGCCAATCGCCAGGGGTCGTACAGCCAGACCCTCCCTCTGCACCGTCCGCGTTATGAAAAAGGCCTGGCCATGGGGTAAACATACGTAGTGATAAACTTGTCTTTATTATCTCTTTTTTTGCGAAAAAGTAGTAACGATAGTAAATTTTGATATTGGTTACCTAAGACCTGTTTGCCTGCCTGCCAAGCTTGCCTGCCTGGTATGCAACAATGCGGGTTGCATGACAAAACATGTCGTAATACGTAATGACATGTCGTTTTGTGACATGATTAGACACGACGCTGCACGACATGTCGTAATGCGTACGACGTAACACTACGTACTATGTCACCTTTATATGATTAGTAGAAAGGTAAAAAACTGTAATTCTGCATTCCAGATGGAGATGACAGATGTGCGTGAAGACCTGGCCGCCCTTCGCCGGGAGGTGGCCGCACTGAGCAAAGTGGTGGCCAAAGTCCAGGGGGAGTACGCCGCACTTCACGGTGCGATGGTCCGCCTGGAGCAGGCAGTTATCGAGGAGCGGACCACTCGCCAGACCGTGGTGGAGGATCTGCGGCAGGAGGTCCGCCGGCGAGCGGCGCCATCCGGCCGTCCCCAGGGGTGAGACTGGGAGGCAGCAGGGGTGGCTGCGGGGGCTGAGAGATTTCGGAGAGCTGTCATGGTGAAAAGTAACCGTAGAAAGTGTAAGAAATAAACCACCACTAGGTCTTTGAAGGTCGAGTAACTTGTAATTGTAATTTCCGCCCAATCAAAGAAACATGCCTTGAATTCGTATCATCTCTTGCAGTTGCAAGTCAGCCGTCTAGTCTCGATCATATTGTTCAAGTTTTCGACAGACGTCCTGCATACAGTTGGCCAGTTCGGGACATCATATCCCGCACGTATGTACATGTCTTCATCGGCAATCGTGTCACAAAATCTAATCGGTCGTATCAAATCGTTCACAGTCGTATCAAATCAACTCTTAACGATTTAATACAGCCGAGTAGATTTGACGACATACCATTACTGACGGCGATTATATGGAAATGTAGGTATATCGAAATATCAAATGAGCCGACAATAAATGCGGAATTGTTATGCCTGATCAGTAGATTTATCGACTTCTGTTCTTTTTTTTCAGTAGAGCTAGAAAAATGGCCAATGACGTCATAGTACAGACGGAGCCCCAGTCATCGGCAATCAATGACGTCATAGTACAGACGGAGCCCCAATCATCGGCAACTTGTGACGTCACGGTACAGACGGAGCCCCAGCCATCGGCAACTTGTGACGTCACGGTACAGACGGAGCCCCAGCCATCGGTCGCCAGTGTATTGAAAACGGTTGAGGAGGCGCTCGGCCTTGTAACCATGACGACGTTCGACGCTCCGTCAGCCCTTGGCGAGGATCAGCTGACGGCGCTCCTGCAGAGTCTTTCTCGCTTGGAGGAGCTGACCGTCAGGGTCCCGTCCTTCGGAACGGGGCGGTGGCTGCGGCTGCTGCCGACGTCACTGAGGACGCTATACGTTGCCGGTGAGAAATAGTTGAGGAAACGCGTACTATTACTTCTGAATGGTGGTAGGTACTTACATGGTACATAAAGTTACAGTTTCAGTGATAAACGTTCAGCGGACATAATAGGTATGTGCCATGCTACCTACCTGCTACACAAACATTAGCCACTGTATTGTACAGTCTGTCTTAAAAGTACCGCGCAAAGTGACGGTGGATCCATCAAGCCTGACCGAGGAAGGGCCTGCTATAATTTGAAAGTCACCGAACCAATGGAGCTGGGGAATGGACGAGGATGTCCATTGCTTCGGTGACTCAAATTTGGCAGTCCTTCATCGGTCAGGCTTGATGGATCCACCGTCACTTTGCGCGGTACTTTTAAGACAGACTGTACACACCTACTCTATATTCTTGCAAACGAATATGACCTGTATGTACTGAACCTGTATGACCTGTATGTACTGAACTGTATTAATTAACTGACGCATGTATAAGCATAGCGCATGCATTGTGCACAGTGTTCAATTACTGTCCAACAGTGCCGATCGACCCAGGCGTTGTCAGTGTCGTCTGTGTCAGGGTTTGACACCACAGTGTCAGCCGCCTCCCGACCCGGCAGCAGCTCCGTCCGACTGCTGTCAGCTGACACAGCTCTGTCCGACAGGGCCGGAGGTGACGAAGTCGATGTGGCCGGGACGGTACGGGAGTGGTCTGTCAGTATCGCTCCAGGGCAGGGGCGTCGCCAACGGGGGGGTCGGGGGGGTCGTGACCCCCCCACTCTTGAAAACTGGGGGTGTCGACCCCCCACTTTTTGCGATGCTGAGTATGCTTTTTTAGCTTTTATGCCACTGAAGCAGGCGTCAGCAACACCAACAAATACATCAGATTCAGAATCGCTTCAAGAGCTCCCTAAAGCCAATTAGCCAATTACCTAAAGTTCAATTAGCTGTGGGCGGGGAACACCAGCACAACAATATTTTTAAGTAGCCACCATTCTAGTACCATTTTATCCCTCAAAGGATTGGACGCGCCAAAAATGCCCCGAGCGTTCGTCTGATCGTTAAAAAAAAAAATGGTCGCAGTCGATTCGTCAAAACTACAAACTAGCCTCAGCCCCATGGCTATCGTCACAACTAGCTGTACAGTGCACATGTAGGGGAAAGGGAGTCAGATGAAACCGTCTCGGGCTTTCGCAAAGAAGTCGCGCAAAAGGAGCCGATTGCAACGAAACTTCCGGTGCGCTCGTGTTAATCACCTACTTAAAAATAAATCGATATCCCTGATTCAAGTAAAGATGACCTTGGTTCACTTTTTCATAACATGCTTTTAATTTAGGTATAGGATAGTTTTTGGAGCTGATTTTGAACTTAGCGCCCATCTGAACATTTAAGAAGTAGGTAGTTGTGTTGCTTATACATATGTATAACATGTTAGGAAGCAATCGGTGGTGGTCATCCACTATTAGGTACTGATCGATCTGACCTGACCTGACCTGATCTACCCCAAATGCATGGAGTCATCATCTTCGTTCAAAACTAAGATAACATTCGTAATCAGAACCTCGAAAAACCATCACAACTTACATTCGCAAAGTTCTAGCAGGTCCCGAGTTTCCCTACGTATTGGCGATGACCTGAGTCCTGAGATGACCCGAAGCCTTGTAAATGGGTATCATCGGCTTTCTCTCGTCACGGGCAGCATGCTCTTTTTCCGCAAACCTCTAGATCGATTAGGGGTCGAAAGCATACATCAGCGTTACTTTAGTATACGTTATACGTTAGCGACTGGGAGCCCACCAATAGAAGGGCTACAGTGAAGCAGAAAACATATTTGATAGCTCTTTCAACGCTCTTTCGCTATTATAGCTTCGGGTCAGATTTCATCTCAGGTCTATGTTTTGCCCATAGAAGGCAAACAGCTAACTCGACAGATTCTGCCGAAACATTTGCTTTGCAATAACTTTAGATTCCGTGAGTTTGTATGGTATTTACATATGTTGTCTTGTCACCACTGTGTTTATCTCTTTGAGACGCGTCACATGAGTTAAAATTTGACCATTCAGAATTAACGTTAAAACGACCTCAGGTCAACGTTATGTCCTGATCGAAAAAGGACCTCCTGCTGCATATGAATGGCTCCGTGTTGTTGAGCTGAACAGTGAACACCTTCCAGGTGCTGTCATCGCTCTACCGCGTCTTCGTCAAAAGTTGTAGAAAAAAAATGCTGGTGGCCATCGATGGACATTTCCACTAATGACCTTTCGAGTCATCACTCGCCATAAGTTGCACCCTGTCCCTGGCAATGATGAGCTGATTTGTCATGGCTCCAAAGATATTTTGCGTTTCTGACGAACTTTTTCAAAGCAGGAGGCATTCGTGCTTTTTATAATTTCTCATTATTTTCTAATGATGAGGTCACGTATTTGACCTGCCTCCAGATCATAGATGTAAATCCTCAGAATCATGAATTGCTGACACGTACAACCCCATACATTAGGTATACCTACAGTGTACCAAATTTCGAAGTTATGGGAGAAAAGCTACAAGAATGGCGAGAGGGGAAAGTTTGATAGAGGTATACCGTATAACTGAACTTGACATGGCGACCTGACCTTAAGTGACTAGTGATAATTTTTACACAAGTGATGTAGGTAGGTATACCTACCTAATAGGTTATATCAAATTTCGCGGCGCTGCGCGCCGCTTTGTTACACGCGCACACATGCACATACGCACGCACAAAGCTGGGAAGTGTGGCAAAAAAAAACACCCCTACCCATCGGGTGAAGACTAGAAACCCGACCCCCCCACTCAAAAATCCGTGGCGACGCCCCTGCTCCAGGGGGTGGCTGCCGACACCATCAGTCACCTGGCCACGGAGCTGGGGTCACGGATTACCCTACTAGTCACGGATGGTGAGCAGCGGTGGAAGTTACTCATATATGAATGGCTAGGAAGGGATAAACAACAGTAGCTGTTCCGGCGCTCAGCGTTCGCTGGCTGTGACGTCACGGCCACCCGGCGGGCCGCGGCCTGGCTGACCTCCAGTGACCTTGAGACGCGCTGCCGGCCGCGTCAGCTGATTGTCGGCGGTGCGCACTGCGCGGCGACTCCAAACGCTGCCGGACTGGTCAGGTGCAGGTGGCGCTGCCGGGCGCTCCTGAACGGGGCAGGGGCGACACGGGGACACGAAGAACAGGAAAACTGGCCGGCGGCAACGCTCCTTGCTTGTTATTTTTGCTCTAAGGAACTGCTTTTTTTCTAGCAAATGTTCATAAATAACGTGGAGAAGCAGTTTATCCCTGAAAATCTGAAGCCTAAATCAAACCAAGAATAACTGGATACAACACATATTACATGTATTGCAGGTAATGCTGCCTCATCCTAAGGTAAGACGGAAGCCATAAGCCATGGCAAGCTGTAGGATGACAAGTCGTGTGCCGTGTGGTGAATGGTGATGGTCAATGATTTGGGCCTCTATTGGACGTAATATTTACGCTACAAATTTTATAACGATACAAAATTGTTATAATTAGCTACACATAAGTGCTGAACAAAATACTTACGTGAAAAGGTTTCAAAAACTGTCATATTGATCAATTGACATCATGAGAATATGCCTAGTTCGGAATATAATTGTAATGCACTAATAAATGGTGATTTTTGTATTATATGTCAAAGACCCATTATCATTTTTTTGTTGAATATTCTGTTACGGAAATTCGCCGTAACTTATGAAATTCACATCGTTTTGATAAAGTACATATTTACTCAGACACGGAATTATCACAGCATTGTAGCCACAGACAATTTTCACTCTGTGTTGTCTACACCTGTAGGTAAGTGTACAATGTTTGACCTAGACAAATGCCTGACATTGGTTCAATCACCTTTCCAGCACAAGTTACTACTATCCCAAGTCAACTTCGTGGTGCCATCATCAGGGTGGACCCAAACACTGTCATCCTTCCGGCCGGAGTCGGTGACAGCGAGCTGACGCAGCTGCGGAGCTCACGGGAGAGTGTGGAGCGGCTGTCAGTCTCCGCCGCCGACCTCCCGCGACTGAGGGAGCAGCTGCCGAAGGGCCTCGAGCGCCTCAATGTCAGAGGTGAGATACCACGGATCATACATGTAATGTCGGTATAATGGACAATGCATATAGATATACAAATGGACAGGGAGACGGCAAATGGACGAACCGATCAAATTCAGCCAACATCTTACAGCCTTGTTTGTGTTATATGGTATTGTTAGAGTGATGCAATGCATGCATTTGCATATAGTATGAACATCAAGTGCATGCATGAAATATTATTGTAGCAATTATTGTAATTTGAAATGGTTATATTGCAACCACTGCGAACCATATATTTATGTAGTCTACCAACCTGATCCGTTACTATACCATGACTGGCTGCCCAGTGCCTAAGCCAATGTGCCTTGCAAAAATCGTAATACTTATGTTGCTCATCTTTGAATATTTACGTATGTATGCTGTTGGTAAAAATATCGTTGTGCAGCCGCTCGGCTGTGCTAGTGCTGGCTGTGTCAGTGTGTGACACTCTGGTGTCAGTGGTGCAGCGGGGAACTAGCGGCAGCTCTGTCCGACTGCAGTCAGCTGACACAGCTCTGTCCGACAGGGCCGGAGGTGACGGAGCCGAGGTGGCCGGAATGG